TTTTAGCTTCTTTGCATTGGCTTCCAGTAAAATCCAGAATAGAATTTAAAATCATTCTTCTTACCTACAAAGCTCTTAATGGTCAGGCACCATCTTATCTTAAAGAGCTCATAGTACCTTACTACCCCACCAGAGCACTGCGCTCCCAGAATGCAGGGTTACTTGTGGTTCCTAGAGTCTCCAAAAGTAGACTAGGAGCCAGAGCGTTCAGCTATCAAGCTCCTCTCCTGTGGAACCAGGTTCCAGTTTGGGTTCAGGAGGCAGACACCATCTCCACATTTAAGAGTAGGCTTAAGACTTTCCTCTTTGATAAAGCTTATAGTTAGGGCTGGCTCAGGTGAGTCCTGAACCATCCCTTAGTTATGCTGCTATAGGCCTAGACTGCCGGGGGATTTCCCATGATGCACTGAGCTCCTCTCTCCTCTACTTTCTCTCCCTCTGTATGCAACCTCATCCCATTATTGCATGTTACTAACACAACTTCTCCCCTTTCTGGTAGTCTTGTGCTTTCTCGTCCCTCTCCTCTCTCCTCCTATCACTTCCTGCAGGTTTTCTGGCTCTGGAGCTGTGGAGTCTGGATCTGTGGCTGCGGGTCACCTGCTGCCCCCGTGTTCCTGCTCGACACCCTCTACTGCAACGACTATTGTTGCTAGTCTTATTGTTATTATTGTTTTTATAATCATTAACATTAATGGTAACGATGGTTACCATTAACACTATTATAAATATGTGTACCATTTTTCATTTAGTCTATAGCAACATTACCTTCACTGTCTGTACCTCTGTGTGTATATTGTGTAGGCTGCCCCCTCCCTCTCTCTCTCCTTACATCTCTCTTTCTCTCTCTCTCTCTCTCTCTCTCTCTCTCTCTCTCTCTCTCTCTCTCTCTCTCTCTCTCTCTCACCCCAACCGGTCGAGGCAGATGGCCACCCACCCTGAGCCATGGTTCTGCTCGAGGTTTCTGCCTCTTAAAAGGAAGTTTTTCCTTGCCTCTGTCGCCTAGTGCTGCTCTTGGTGGGAACTGTTGGGCTTCTGTAAATAACATCACAGAGTACGGTCTAGACCTGCTCTTTTATGAAAAGCGCTGTGAGATAACTGTTGTTGTGATTTGGCGCTATATAAATAAAATTGAATTGAAAATTGAATTGAACTGAAGAACGCAGCGCAACCCACAGCTTATATACCCGCAGTGATCGCATGCCCTTTTAACTGCGATAGAACTGTTGAAAAGTGAATGGGGGGGGGGGGGGCTGTAAACATGAAAATAAAGTGCATACCTATAAAATAACACACAAGTAAGTGGGCATTTTCCTATAAATCTGCTATATGCCACATGTACATGGATCCATGTACATGTGTACATATGCATGTATATGTACCTGTATATCACATCCACCTCCGACATGTACATACTCCTGCATCCTTTGCACTCTGCTCACTGCTCTATTTGTCAATATGTCTATATTGTTTTTGTTCATAGTGTGTATATTTGTGTTGTCTACACTGAAGTCTGTCTGATTTTATTTTTATTATTGTGATTTTGTATTTTTGTATGAGTAAGCACATTGTGAGCAATGTACAATCCAGAGTCAAATTACTCTTATGTGTACACATACCTGGCAATAAAGCTGATTCTGATTCTGATTATTTCTATTGTACTGCTATTTGTCGTATTTATTTAACTTACCAACTCACTGGATGTCCTACACTGACTTCTGTTTGTCTAATTTACTGATATGTGCGTGACATAACATTTTGGATATTGTTTATGTTGTTGATGGGGTAATCGGTAAATGAATTGCCCTTCTTGGTAACAAGATCTTATGACTGTATCCTCATTTGGCAGAATAAATTATCTTTATTTGAGAAACATTCATACTTGTGTTGTCAGTTTTCACTATAACCTTAAAGTTCTGTTTCTTAGGTTATACTGTATGTAAGTCAAACTATACAGCAAAACCACACTCTGATTGAACCAATCTACAGAGCAGTAACAGTCATTAGTATAATTAAATAGCATTCTTTGGAAGTGCACTTCATCTAATATGGAGATGAATTAGATATGGTATTATTTTATCGCATATTTACATGAGCAGATGGATAGTATTTAAGTCATAGCCTACAGAAGAGCTCAGCAGGAGCACAGTCTGGCCTAAGTAAATTCCCCCCATGCAGCTCTGATGTGTCTAAAAGCTAACATTAAAGTACGTTTTGTTCAACAGAGGAGAAATGGAAGAAGAGAATATGTCTGTTGCTTTTTTCTTTTAACATCTTGGCTTCTTTACTGGTTGTTGACCATGTGTAATTCTAATACAGCAACAAAAGATGCAAGTGCAAAGATTTTGCAAGTGTTCACGCAATTTCTCTTGACTGTCCCTCAGTATGAAATGGTCCAGCATTTCTCCAGTATTAACAATAGACGTTAGCAATATTAGCTGTGGCTTGTGCTAGCGCCAGGTTTAACAGGCGAACTTGCAAATAAAACAGCAACAGTAAAGCAACATAAAACTGCCAAACTTCTAGGTTCTAAGTTTGAAGTTGGAATTGATACATTCTTGTGCTTCAGGATTTGAAGCAAATCCGGGTTTGTAACATTACTGGCCTTTGTAAAATGGTTAGCAAAGGGCACACAAAGTTTTCCAGCAGTGAAATAAATGGTAAAAAAAAGAAGTGCTGATTGGCCAAAAAGGAGCTTTGTGAATCTGCACTCAGTTGCTCTTCCTCAAGGACACGGATGTGTGTTTGAGCAATGTGAAACTGAATTGTAAGAAATTCATTTGAAATGTGAGAACTTGTAAAAGTATATAGAGAGTGGAATTTTCAATTAGGATCAAATACAATTTCAGAGCAACTGAATTCAATTTCAAGTTTAAATTTCTTAATTTAGTTTCAAAGTATGCTATTCAGATACAGTGCATGTGTACGTACATCTGTGTGTGCATCCTGCAACTGCAGGCCACCAACCCAGGCTTCAGCTGCCAGAAACACTGTTATTACTGAGGCATTTATTCAGTTAGCTGACGCGACTTACAATTGCTATACATGTCAGAGGTCGCACGCCTCTGGAGTAACTAGGGGTTAAGTGTCTTGGTGGATGGGTCACAGTGGGGAATTGAACCTAGGTCTCTCACACCAAAGGCATGTGTCTTATCCATTGCGCCATCACCACCCTAGAGGCAGGGGAAAACCAGTTGTAATAATTAATAGGCATATTATTATCCTAGTTCTATGATTGATTAACTGCCAAAATAGACATGACTGAAAACAAATGGCATTATCCCCTATTGTTTTGTGCATCAATGCCATTGTTCATAATTTCAGTATTTAAAGCTGGGGTAACATCTATTGCATGTCTGTCCATCTTGGGAGCAGGCAATTGATAAAAGATAAATATACAGAGCGCAGAGCACAGCAAATAAACACAAACATGCCTGAAAACACATACATATATCACCCATTGAGCATGTTTGGGATGCTCTGGATCAGCGTATACAACAGCGTGTTCTGGAAGTTAACATTAGGTAGGGGGTTGAGGGGAGGCAGTGGGCGGTCATCATCATCTGTGCTGCAGCTCAGTGTAATTCGCAACCATTGTTTTGAGGGCCTGCTAAACCAACCACTAGGCGAGCATTGTGACGCGTGTTACATAGTGATGCAGAGAGGTTGGACTGCAATCCAGCTGTTTTCAGGCAGTCCAGAGCAGTGTTTTCTGTGGGAGATGAGAACTGCTTTTGGTGTGGACTTTGGACTTTTTCACTTTGCAAACCTATTACATGCACAAAAAAGATATATACACAACAAAGAAAAGGGAAAAAGACAAAAAGCATAATATGACCTCTTTAAAGGGGCTATATGTAGTTTTTCAGTGAAATCACTTATTAATAAATAAAATTTTTACTGCCTTTTTGTCAATGGGCTGTAGCCTGACTTAGAAATGAAGCACTTCTGTTTTCTTTGTATCTTGGAACAGCCACTGTTCTCCTTTCAATGTGAATGTATCGGTTGTAGCCCTGTGCATGCTCACATTAGAGAGGCTGGAGTCACGGAGAGAGTCATTGGTATTATGTCAAAGTGTTCATTTTAGCCTGCAAGAAATTATGTAATGATTCAAAGAAAATGTGGAGCAATTAGTTTACTAGCCTATAGTGATGTAAGGCAGGGCAGTCAGCTAACGTTAGCACGGATCTGCCATTGTTTTCTTCGTAACACTCAATTTAGATTTATTGTGGTTTTACCGATACTCAGGTTCACAACTTCTTCACCTCTCAGACACTGTAACTAACGTGACCCACATAATATACAATACTGCAGCAAAATCGGGACAACAACACATAGGAAGACCCATTCACAAGTGTGGCAACAATCTCATTTATAATATTCAGTCTCTCCAGTGAAAGATACCCAAATAGTAATGTTAGTTACTGAAAAGCAGCAGGCAAGCTAACTCCAGTGTATCATGTCTGTTTTGATTTGCTTTCAAGCTGATGTTAAATTAAGTGGAAATTGTTAATTTGTCTATAAAACATAGAAAAGATATAAATTTAGATATGATGTAGGTATGCCAGGGTTTGCAAAAGGTTCCCAGGTATGTATCGAATATACAGAAACAGGCATTGAGGGAATATATACGCTATCTCAGTTGCAGTCTGAAAGGAAGAGGTGTGATGCGAATTCGCGACAATTGGCGAACCGCACTGCTAGTGTCTGCTGAAAATTACATATTGCCCTGTTCAGTCAAAATGAAAATGCAATTTTCTAACAATTATAAAATGAAAATAAATACAGCATTTGACATTTCAAAACACTCGGAATGCTGCTTTGATTTGAACAATAACAGAAATCTGTATCTCATGACTGCCTCAACTTAATAGGAGGACAAGACTAAATAGTATGAAAGGATGGTCAGGTCAGGGTGTAAATTAACTTAACTGGTTAATTAACTTATATATTTACCAGAATTAATATCATGTTTTATGAGTTCAATACAATAACACAGGAGACATGTTGCAACATGTAACTTTATTAAGAAGGCAAGATACAGGAATTAATATGACCTGCCTATTACACAGCTGTGTGTTGTGTGTGTTTCACTGCGCAGTTAAGGATGGCATGGTCCTTTGCTTGCCACTTTCACATTCTTCATCTCTTTGCTGTAAGAAAAAAAACATGGCATTACAATAGTGTGGTGTGTGTGTATGTGAATGTGTGTGGAGATTATTAGTTATTGTAGCAATATTATTTGTAAATGTTGTTGTAAAACTGTATCTCAATCCGTGTGCATGCTAATCTCAAAATCCACACAGATGCGTACATTGGCCCAACCCTAGTGTTACCTTTGTATTAACTTATATTTCTAGTTCTCTGACAAATAAAGATAAAGATAAATAGATAAAGGGTCTTTTTCCATTTCTTTATGAATTATTTTAGATTATTGGAACCATTATAAGATAAACATTTTTGAATGAGGCTCACTTCTGAGCAGAATGCTTCAATCAAAAATCTAATGAGCCTGATATAAGGTGGTTGGGCGTTGTTTTTACTTAAACTTTAATAAAGACATACTCTGACATCCAGATGTGAGTGTGTCCTGTTGCACCTTGGTAGTCAAAAATGGTTGGCTAGTGACCTTTTGTGATCTCAAGAGAAAATTGAGAAAGCAAACTCAGAAACGAGTTTGGGCATGATGGCATTTGCGCTCTCAAATCTGATTGTGCTCGTACGGATCCGTGCCTGTTCACACTCAAATGCTGACTTGTAGACAGAGTAGCACGCTCAGATCTTTTGTCATCATACTTCCATAATTCTTTTACACATTCACAAATCTGAGTGTGCACACACAGATGAGATACAGTTTCACAACTCTCCACGCATATTTGCAAATGATATTGCCACAATAATACCCACATCTAGTATCCATTTTCGTGTGTGTTTGTGTGTGTGTGTTACATGCCTGTTCTGCTGGCAGAGAACACACTCGGTGCTGTAGGTGATTCCATCACTGCCACATACTGGATCAAATTGCTTGGTGCAAGTTCCACCTTCATACTTCCCACAGTCCAGCTGGACACAAACACAGGTAGTCACATGATCATTGATTAGACACTCCTGCGTAAAAATTACATTCTGCACAGTCAGTTGCACGTTCAGGTTTAGGTACACCTAGCTGAGAGAAATGCCGTCTAACACAACTTCTCTTCTTGGAATAATAAATGTTCCATCCTGTTCATCAGGTTAGAAACAGCTACTGTGCAACATAGGTATTTCTAGAGAATGCACTTTGCTTTGCATGCTGATTATCTCTAATAACTGTTTAATAAAATTATTTTACTTTTGTCTATCTACATGAAGGTATCAATAAGATCATTTTAAATATCTTACTAGCTGCCTAGCCTGCTATTGTTGCCTGTATCTGTTTTTTTTTGCGATGGTAATTTTTGTGGTGCATTTTGGTGCAAATTGTATTGGGTTATACTGACATGCGTATTGTGGGTAAATGGATTTCAGTAGCATTGTAAATACACAGACAATGAGTCTCAAATATATATTACAATTTGTAAACCAAACACCAAACAAATAAACTGGCCATGATCTACAAATAGAAATGAGCATTCATTCAAACCATAATTTGAATGCAGAACAGTTTTTCTGCCCATATAGGAATAATAGACTCATACTGTAGTTGTAAATTGTTTTCAGAATTTTGACACTACTGTTTTGCTGTTTTATAAATTACAATTTCTACAAATTTACTCTTCACAATTGCAAACAACACAGTCTAGCTTGAATTTTCAAACCACTGCATTCAAGTGTCAGATCTGTGTTTGGGATCACAGTGTATTTGCGTATTGCTTTGCATTTGTCTACAAATAAATTTGACACTAGTTTTCTGCGCCAAGTATGACTAGGATCCACAAATGTAGTCAGCCAATCAGGAGTATTGCTTCTGTGTGACGTTCCCTTAATAAGCCTTTGAAAATGGTAAATGAACTGTACTTGTATAGCGTCTTTCTGGTCTTTCAACGTATCACATTTACACACATTTATGCAGTGATGGCAGACGGTGCCATGGAAGGTGCCAACTGCTCATCAGAAAGAAACTAATCATTCACACACATTCTCACACACACACACACACCAGGAATTTGGGTTCAGTATCTTGCTCAAGAGCACTTCAACATGCAGACTGGAGGAGCTGGGGGTCAAAACTTCTGACTAGTGGAACACTGCTCTACATCATTGACTCTGTATTTAATCTTATGTGGACTTTATTTGTGTTCATGTGCATAATAACTTATATGCTGAAAAATTCTCCTCCTTTAATAGTTTGGTTGGTGAAGTGTGCCTTTGTAATACAGTTTGATATTTAAGTACTTTGTATTCTGCAGTTTCATTTCTGCTCTTGCTAACCCATGTGGTGTGGAAAGATTGTAGCATGCTGAGAGAAAACCAGTCTCTCTTTTTATTATTGTTATAAGTGTCTGTACATTGCTTAGTATTTCCTGTTGTTTGCGTGTTTACTTTGTAAGAATCATTTGTTGTCTTGTAAGGTAGTATATGATTTCTGCCAATAGAGGGTGCACTTTACCAATGTAGTAGCAAAATGGGCAATGGGAATTTTCAAATTAGAGCATGTTGGTAGTGAAAACATCAGTGTAGGTTGTAAAACAAAAACAGTTAACTTGACCTAAAGATGAGTTTTCCAATTAAAGTGGGACATTGGTGTAAAATTCAAAACAGTGATAACAGTTTGTAGTAAACTCAACTCGTTTATCTTTTGTCAGTCTGCAAACCAGTAGTTGAAATAAAAAATTTGAATTAGACCCCAGTCTTACCTCTTGAGTGGGTGGTCCAGAAATCATCTTCTCATCACTGCCTGGAAACTGATTGTCAGTCTCATCCTCCAGGGAATGGACTATACACACACACACACACACACACACACACACGCACGCAGAGTTTATTTTATTTATTTGTGAGAGCCCTCACTGACACATTCCCTCGCTCCTTACGCTAACCCTAAGGAAGTCTTATATTTAGAGGAGTTTTATATAATTTTACTTGTTCCCGCGTACCACAAGCAACACCCTTGGGATGTAGATTACCTCTCTTTTAACCTAACCTAACTCAGACATGAATTTCAGCAGCCCATTAAGTCAGCCTATTATCACCTGAAGAATATATCAAGGATTAAAGGACTTATGTCTCAGCAAGACCTGGAAAAACTTGTCCATGCATTTATCTTCATTTGACTCCCTAAGAAATCCATCAGACAGATTCAGAACGCTGCTGCTCGAGTGGTCTTTAAACTGGCTTCCTGTCAAATAATTGATTTTAAAATCCTGCTGTTAGTTTATAAAGCACTGAATGATTTAGAATCAAAATACATTTCTGATCTTCTGCTTCGTTATGAACCATCCAGACCTCTCAGGTCGTCTGGGGCAGGTCTGCTTTCTGTCCCCAGAGTCAAAACTTAACCCGGAGAATCAGCGTTCAGTTATTATGCTCCGTAGATCTGGAACAAACTCCCAGAAAACTGCAGGTCTGCTGAAACTCTCTGTTCTTTTAAACCAAGGCTGAAGACTTTTCTTTTTGCCGTTGCCTTTTATTGAATCAAATTTGAGGCTTTTGATTAAAATCTTACACAGCACTGTAACTTTTACTGTCCTGTTTTATCTTGTTTTTATTTTCTTTTTAACTCTTTTTAAAAAGTGTCTATTTCCCTATGTTGCATTATGATTTATATAAAGTACTTTGAATTGCCTCATTGTTGCAATGTGCTATTTAAATTAATTTGAATTGCCTAACCATCATAACTAAATGTCTAACCCCTGTCCTAACCTAAACTTAACCTTACCTGATTCTAACCTGAAACTTAAAACCCAGTCTGGATCAAACAATCCTTTGAAGAGGTGAGAACTTGACAAAAAGTCCTCATTTTGTAAAACTGCTCTTAGTCCCAATACGCTCACAGACTTCATTCCACAAGAATGGAACCTTGTAACCAGCTTTTGTCCAGAGGAATGTGACCCAGCCTGGTCTCATGTTCTTCTGAACTTCCTTTTGTTTTGCTGCTCTTTGTGTTTTTCTTCTGTTGTCTGGCAAAACGACGTTGAAACTGAAGAAGCTACTTTTGGCAAAAAAAAAACCCAGCATAACAAACCTTTTTCAAGCAACTTTATTATCTTTAGTATCTATGGTTAGGCTTCACAATAATCTATTCTGAGTTCAATGTTAGCTGTGTGCTATTTAATTGGTCTAAATCAAATTGTTGTCTGCCCATAAATGACATCAGTTTGATTTGACAGACCTCTTTTAGATCATTAAGGTGCACTGTAAATATTCAGGCATTTCATCATCCTTATTTTTATATTACAGTTTGTAATCATTCTTTCACATTGCAGTCTGACCAACACACCGACAAAAAACTCCATCTCAACGAATAATCTAATTTCTTAAAAAGAGCAGATTGATATTATGTTTCCAACAACAAATTATATTTGATCATTTTTATAGACAAAAACACAATGTTCTGCTTTATTCTGACTGCTTTGGTTATGCTATGCATTTCTAGAAAATCCTGTATTACAAGAACCTTAAACCAGGAACAAGCGGAAAATTCATACACTTTCAGCGGACTGTTTCTGGTTTAAAGGATCAAGACAAAATTACTTGTTAAGATCATTACTTTATGCTGTTAATGAACTCACCAGAGACAGAGAGCAGCAGGACGCAGCAGAGCAGCACAGTCAGCTTCATGGCTTCCAGTGTATGTACGTGATTCTGTGGGCAACAGGTGTTTGTTTCACACATTATGTTTTCCTTTTATACGTAACCTGTCAAGCTGGCTGTAGCTGTCTGGCTGCATTTCAAGGGCAGGAACGCATGACATTTGGGCAACAAGATTACACAACTGCATAGAAAAACAAATATCCACGTATAGCTGCAGACTGGAATACAGTGACCAGGGGGATTTCCAGACTGTTAGAGAAAGAACTAGATTCAAAGTTTCAGTATGATCAAGCAACATGAGACAGTCCCACACATTTGGACATGAGTTAGAATAGTATGTACAGGTGAGCTTGAAAATTCATCTTTGATGTTGGGATGTATAAATACCAGTTTGAAAAACTCTTTTAACTAAAGGTTAAGATTATTTTGCCACAGTACTGGGTTTCTTTCTTATGTTTCTTTCGAATTTATGTAAAAAGAACATCCGACAAGAAAATGAAATCAAGTAGACAAATCACAGTGATTAGAATAACTAAATGAAAAAAAAATATTAACAACAGTTGCAGCCAAACACTTTTTAACTCTTGTCAGTGTCCATTACATATTCGAAAAGGAGTGGGAAGAAGAATAAGAAACTTATTTAATCCCACCCCCTATCCAATAATCAAAAGTTTACAAATAATTGTCCCGCGTTCCAAATATTTACACATCTACTTTGTTAAACCCCAAAGCAATTCAAAATGTACATCAATTAGTACTGAATATGGTATTTACAATATAGAGGTATACAAATGAAAAGACTGAACTGAAAAAATTATGATCATATAAAGCATAATTATACTATGCTATACTAATGTGTGCGTGTGAGTGAAAGAGTGAGTGAGTGAGTGCTTCCGTGAGACAACAGCTGTCTGCTCTTTCTCCCTCCTCAGTTTTCTGTTTAAACCTCAAACTCAACTTAATCGTCACTCACTAATCTTCTACTTATCTACTCTGTTACTCTCTGTGTGCTAAGTCCATATCATTTTGGACTTCCTACTTTTTATTTTTGAAATGATCATAGCATTATGGGGTAGCCTCTGTTGATGCAGTATTATCTAGCCTAGCCTAATAGCTTAGCACACACCGCTAACTCAAGCTTCCTAACTGTGTGACAGTGGTTTGTGTTAACTGGTCCTGTTTGCTCCTCAGTCCCTCTCTTCAGCCACACTCTCTCATCCCCGGCATCTGCTGGTCCCTTTCTCTAACCACAACTCTGACCTGACTGTCACACCCTACTACACGCCTACATTTGGGTCCAATCCCCATTGTCCATTAAATCAGCCTGACAGAATGAACTGGTTAAAGATGGACCAACGAAGGATCTTTTTTTCAGTAACGAAACAGGTTTTCTTGCAGTCTACTGAAAGGAGGACCTTGACTTTGCCCATTTGGTGGCATTCTACAGGTGTTCCACACTACCTTCTGATCTAACCCCTGTTTTTCATGAGCCTTCACTCCAATCTGCACCTCGGCCTGCTAACCTATCCTGCACTCCAGTTGATTAGGCTTGGGTTCGTGAGCCTGCAACCTGCCCGTCCTTGTGCTGGTTGCAGGCCTGCTATCTGTCTGTCCTGATCCTGCATTTCCTGAACCCAAGATACAGTGGACAAGTTGAGGAGTCCCCCTGACATCCTTTCAAAAGAGGTCAACGTTTCAAGGGACATTCTCCAGAAGGAGGTGTGGTCCACATGGCTCCCAACGGCATTGGCTCTCTCAGCTGACCAGTGCCACAGATACTCAGCTGCCCAATACTTGGCCTCTTCACTGCCCCTTACCACAGAATTACCACCTCATGCATTTTAGCTTAATTGAGGGTAACTTCTGCATAAATTAGATCCTGTAATCTTTATGGGTGAACTAGATTTTCTTCCAGAGAGCGCCAACATACAGAATTTGTGGGATCTGGCACCAATGGTAGACTTAACAATTTGAGAGTCCCCAGACTCCAGCTGATTTCTCTCTCTGAAGAGTTGTAAGTGTAATCCTTGGTCTTTTATTGTTCCAGATGAAACCAGTGACTAAACTACATAAATTATCCCAGTACCAAATCTGTGGATTCAAAGACAGCCTAAAGCTGAGAAAATTTATTTGAGGTAATACCATCATTTTTATAATTGAAATCCTTGATGTCCACTTCCCCAAGTCTGTTTTGATCTTGTCTAAAACTATAGGATAGTTTTTGTTGACTGTCTAAAGTTGGGAAAAGATTCTTCTTATTACTCAAAATTTAGCTAAAATGCAAATACATTTAAATTTTTTTCAAAATTCTGTTTTATTTTAAATTATTTAACTGTCCACGTATGTGGACACAATGCAACATTGTACATTAATTCTTATTTCTTGTAAAGGCCGCAAAGCATTCAAAAGTTGTCATTTAATGCTGTAATGCACTTGCATTGTTATTTACAATTTATTTTTTGTTGTTTACATTTTGTTAAATGTCTGTTTTACTATAATATAATACAATTTGTCACATCTTTGAAAAATTTGAATAGATATACTAGAATGGGCATTTCCTTAAGAAAATGCGTGTGAGAGCTGCCAGCTATTTTTTGAGATTGCTACCACTGTCGTTGCAGTGTGCGGCTCCATCAGCTAAGAGACTCAATGATGTGCTGCACACCTGTTCAGAAACATATGTGTTAAGTTTGGCCCCTTTTTTGTTAACATGCTGTGAGCAGGGTTTGATCCATCAATCCCTGGATCCGGAGCAAGAGCAAGACCTCCACCACCGGACTACTCAGATACACTGTGAAGGGAAGGCTTTCAAGTTTCTTTGTCAATCGTGTCTTTTTCTGACAAAAAAAATGCCTCCTAAGCACCAATAGAAGGCATTTTTTGCTTATAAACATATTTTCTGTGATGTCTACTCCGCTGTTGAAGAATAAAAAAAGTAACCGCTGAAAGTCAGTAAAGACTGCACATTTTGTTAGCATCAAGTTCAAACAACAAATGGCTCCATACATTTGCAAGCTTTAATGTTAATATATTGTGACTCAAATCAATGTCAGGCACAAGAAGGAGTACTCTGAGGACCTGTCTATCAATGCAGCTGTTCTTATCAAATGAAACAGGCACTTCACTCCTGGTTTCAATAGTAAACCACCGCAAGAATGAAAACTACCAACAAAAAACACTATTTTCTAAGCAGACACATTAACAAATACATAAATCACAAAGTATTTGTTTTGTATTTCAAACAAATAGGAGACTTATTAGCAAATTTTAACGAACCTTTCTTCACTGCCATGCATCATGGGAGTCTAGCTCTGGCCCCCCCTTAGGTTGGAAGAGGAGTCCCATAGGAACCCATTCATTTTAAAATGCATAAAAATATTATTATAAAAACATTACATATATCAGCTACACAGCACCCATCTCATGAAGAAGATGTACAATTTGAAGTTGAAACCAAGTTTGTAGGACAAACAAAGGAGAAGATAGATGCCAAAAAACGGCGGAATGAATAATAATAATAATAATAATAATAATAATAAAGAGCGAAGACAACTAAAGTGTGAGAGCTACAGCTACAGCTAGCAGGTTACAGAAATCAAACTTAATGGAATCTGACTTCACTGTTGCATGACGTCCACATATGTGGACTGTTGGTTTTTGGTGTATAAAAACTACATTTTATTTTAAATTTTAATTTATAAAACATGAAACTGTCAATAATACTTTACTGTACATACTACTACTATTGATTGACGTCCTTGAATAAAAGTTTTTCACAGATATGCCTGAGGCATTTAGCATATGGCCTTCACAGTCGGCCATCTTGGATTGATGAGGTCATCAGGCAATAAATATTTGGAAAACAAGAGTGTAACCACTGTTACAATGTTGCCATCAATCAACTGACACTGTCCTCAAATGACTTAGAGAACATAACCATGATATAGTAACCCAAAATGGAGTTAAAAATAACTGTCCACAAATGTGGACGCCATGCATGGAAGGTTTAAGGAAAAGACAGTTTTCTCATGTTTAAATCATTACATTAACATTTATTCATTTAGCTGACGCTTTTATCCAAAGCGACTTGCAATTGCTATATACACTCACCTAAAGGATTATTAGGAACACCTGTTCAATTTCTCATTAATGCAATTATCTAATCAACCAATCACATGGCAGTTGCTTCAATGCATTTAGGGGTGTGGTCCTGGTCAAGACAATCTCCTGAACTCCAAACTGAATGTCAGAATGGGAAAGAAAGGTGATTTAAGCAATTTTGAGCGTGGCATGGTTGTTGGTGCCAGACGGGCCGGTCTGAGTATTTCACAATCTGCTCAGTTACTGGGATTTTCACGCATTTTACAAAGAATGGTGTGAAAAGGGAAAAACATCCAGTATGCGGCAGTCCTGTGGGCGAAAATGCCTCGTTGATGCTAGAGGTCAGAGGAGAATGGGCCGACTGATTCAAGCTGATAGAAGAGCAACTTTGACTGAAATAACCACTCGTTACAACCGAGGTATGCAGCAAAGCATTTGTGAAGCCACAACACGCACAACCTTGAGGCGGATGGGCTACAACAGCAGAAGACCCCACCGGGTACCACTCATCTCCACTACAAATAGGAAAAAGAGGCTACAATTTGCAAGAGCTCACCAAAATTGGACAGTTGAAGACTGGAAAAATGTTTCCTGGTCTGAGTCTCGATTTCTGTTGAGACATTCAGATGGTAGAGTCAGAATTTGGCGTAAACAGAATGAGAACATGGATCCATCATGCCTTGTTACCACTGTGCAGGCTGGTGGTGGTGTAATGGTGTGGGGGATGTTTTCTTGGCACACTTTAGGCCCCTTAGT